GAGAGAGAGAGAGAAAGGACGGCAGGTGGGGAAGAAGGAACAGGTGGAAGGGGAAGGAATCGAGGTCACTGTGACGCGAAAGGTGGGAAAAGTGGCCGAAGCAACGATTGGCCGTTTGCCCTTCCCTCTTGGAGAATCCTCAGGATCAAGGGCACTGGGTCATTGCCTCCACGTGGACCCCTTTGCGCTCTCCTCCCCCCACAATTCTCCTCCAAGTGGGGAGGTAACGGTATCGGTTGTGATCGAGTCGCGAGTGGAGAGGGCGAGAACCTCGGATATATTACGAGCCGATCGAGAGGACAGCACTGTCAAGAGATTGGAGAAACTCGAGGCGAGAAGTTGATGAGTCGAATGATGGGTTTTGGTTTGGATTTGGATTTGAATTTTGGCTTCTGTTCACGTACCAAGTTCGTTGTCGAGTTGTTTGAAAGATTTTTCTTGAAACTATAAACATATAAACAGTCTTCTTAAACAGGATTGATTTACGATTTTCGCGAAGAATCGTGCAAATGATTAGATTTATCATGTCTCTTCACGCGATGATGATTTTAGAAGTTCGTTTAATACCTTTTTATCGAAAATAGATTCCCTCAAATTTTCTGTCCCTCTTCATTTAAAAGAATGATTAAATTTTATTATTTGCGTGCTCCTGTTTGAAAAATATTCGCATCTTGAACGAACAATCTGATCGTTCGATGAACGAAACGAGGAATTCGTTTCAATCTATTAAAATTTCCTCTGCAAACGGAGGATCTAGTAATCAAAATAATTTTATCACATTCCCTCTATAAAAAATCATTTCAAATTGAATCATTGCACAATTAACTTTAAATTAAGATAATTTTACAGTAGAATCTAACATGATTGATTTTTCTTTTCAAAGAATTATTAATAATAACAGTTGAACCCGAACGAGGAATTCGTAGCCTCGAGAAGAGAAAGAATGCAAAAGTATGATCGCGCACGAAGAATTTTGAGCGCATAACGGATGCTCGTTCTCGAATTAACGAGGTCTACGCAGCCATTCGGCCGGTAATCGGGATCACTCGACGTCGACTGCACCCCAATTTTTTTTTTTTTTTTTTTTTCCTTTTTCCTTCCACACAACTCGATAACGCGTGCATTCGCTCGGCATGCCTGAGAACATTAGACGCGTGAACTAAACGGATACTTAGATGGAATAGAAAAAGGCTTTAGAGAAATTTTACGCGTTTGCTGTGAAATTGCTGTGAAACTATTCCTTTTCGAATTGTACTGGATTAGAATAAAGCTTCAATTACATTCATAATTCAACGAATTTTCTTATCGAAAATTTGCAATGTCATTAATTATTATTAGAATTCTAGCTAATCTCGTTACACCGTGATATATTAAAATGAAATTCCAATGAATATTTTGTTGTCGAAAGCTTTCACAATATCATAATTCATTATTAGAATTCTAGTTAACTCGTTGCACTAGAAGATCTATTAAAATGAAATTCCGAAGCTATCTTTTAAAAACTCGATATTTCGGACAGGCAACCGTGTAAAATTCTTATATTATGCAAAAAGCCGGAATCGAGTCGAAATTATCGAAATTCTACGCGGAGAACGCGGTGATATGATCGTCGAGCGACACGGTTTTCCAAATAACATCGCCATTCACCGAGGAAACGATCTCGTTCGAGGATTACCGATAGATCTTCGGGGAATTCTCGCGATCCACGCGACTTTCTCGACACGTTCTACGTCTCGATTTTCGAAACGAAAACGGGCTGACCGTGCGCACGATAGATTACCCTCGCCTCTTCCAATATACAGGGTGTCAGGTTATATTCGATTCGATCGATGTATACGTTTCTGGAGAATGATCAGCGTTTATAAAGCATATATTCGATATACAACACCCTGTATATAAATCGAATCGACCAAGAATAGAATCGTCGAAGAGAAGAAACAGAGATTGACCCGATTGCGAATTAGACAGGGACAGTCTTATAAAATCGAACTTCACCGCCGATTGAACGAGTAATTCGATCCAGTTTTCTCCAGTTTCGATTGCTAATTGCCGCAAAGTCGACCACTTAACCCAAATAGATAGATAGATCTGCGGTTCGGTCGATTCACAGCTTTTATTTCCACGCAAGTCTTTTTTATCAGTTTGCAAGGTTTTTCAAAAGTGGAAGGACACGGAAATCTGGTCGATTTTCTTATATCGCTCGTGGACGGATGAATCAAGGACACTTATGAAATTGCGGATCGGTCGTGAAACAAGCGTTGATCGTCGTCGATCGATTTTAATTTTCGCTTTCGCGCCGTCTCGAAAGTGGAGTGGTAAATAGCGTTTTCCATCTTTTCTGCCTTTCGAACAAGGAATCATCATTTAATTGCGCGCGTAGAGGATTAACGATCGGCCGATGAAATTCAGACGAGATCGGCATATTCGTTCCCGTGTCAAATGTGCCAGAAGGATAGTAGTATACGAGGAACAGTTATGGGGAACAACAGAGCGCCCATTCACGTTTCACCACTTTGCGGCACAGTTCGAGTGCTTCGATCGATTGGAAAGGTGTGATCGATCGATGAAAATCGAGTCTACGGAATCCAAACCGTAACGTTATAACGTTTTCTAATAACTCTATCCAATCTATGCCGATCGGTAATCTCAAATTTTCATCCAAAATGTGAAATTTCACTTTTTACAAAGTTTAAGTAACGAAAGTTCGGTCGAGAATTTTGATATCAGAGGAAGAAGCTGTACGATGATCCCATGATCCATTAAAACATTTCCTTTGCTACGAGTTGAAACGATCGTTCTGCAGATTCAAGATGTCGGTTTCTTTGTCAAAATTTTATCAAAAAATTCGAAAGAGAATTTTCCAAAGATTCGATGAATCTTAATGAGAGTTTTTTCACATTTTTGGTAAATTTTTAAATCTGGAAGAAAATTTACACAAAATCCGATTGGATTACGATTGGCCAATTCCGGCATCGCGAGAAACAAGAGCAGCTGAGCTGATTATTAACGAAAGGAAGGCGTTGCGGTAAAAGGAAGTGGCGAAAGATCGAGAAAAGAAGGCTAATTCTCTCTCCTTTCCGACACACCTGTTGGCCGAGCAGCGCGCCGAGGAGCGCATCGTCCTGCCCGGCTACGAAATACCTGGCAAACGCCACACGCGGCGAATTTATCACGCCCCAAACTCCACGCCCTATTGACGGTGGATCGTTTCTGCGGAATGCAGAACTGCAATTTTTCACGCAGTTCGCGCGTTTTGTTTCGAGAAGCTCTAAATATTTAGTGAAATACGACCGAGTATCTCTTCCCCAATCTTATCCAACCAGGTTTTCCTTAATTCCGATTTAATTTTCGTTACACAGGCTGGATGGATCTGTTGCTTCCATGTAACAAGTGTCCCTTTTTTACTTGCCAAATTTTTTCCTCCAATGGTTCAAATTTCAAGCGAATAAATTCTTCTTAATTAAACGGTTTTTAAGAATAATAATAATATTTACATAAGAACAAATAAATGGCCTCTCTTCTAAATGTTAATTATTGGGGAGGGGGGGGGGCGTCTCTCTCTCTCCAGGCAAAAACGATCGAATTATTTTTCCTCGATCGTCGCGCAAAAATTTAAGGATCATCGAAGGTTGCCGAGTCAGGCAATTTCCGCGGACGCGTAAAATCACGATTTCCACGATTCACGCGATTTCCAATGGACAACTCTTCAAAGATGCACCTCCGGATCCTGTGGAAATTGGCCACTTTCTCGCCGTCAGATCCGTCTGTAGCGCGCTTGTCGTCGTTGGAGCGTGGCGCGCGAAAATCCAATCTCCGCCGAGTTAACCGGTCTAATTTAAAGTAGGCCTTCTCCGTCTCGTTTCGCTCAGCCGATGTAAATATAACGATGTGCAACAACGCTCGCCACTTCCCCCTCTCTCTTTCTCTCTCTCCCCGCGCCGTTTTCCGTTAAAGTGCAATACCGATTTTCCGCCTATAACCGGATGTAAACCAGCCCCCATTTCGTCGGATCGATCGACGATCGACGCCAGCCTCGATTTCGTCGTCGAGATCGAAAGTGGTTCACGCCGGGTTCGTTACTGTCGTCGTCCATCGATCCGCCACACTTCGATCGACCGATCTTCTTCCTTCTCCTCTTCGCGCCCAAGAAGAGGAAAATCGACGACGAGAGTAAAGAAGACTAAAGAAACGATTTACAGAAAAATCGTGGATAAAGATTATTTTCCATAACGAAACGAATTCGTCATCCTTCCCATCCTTTAAAACGGATAATTTAATTCTCGATTCACGATTTATATTAATCGCGTAGAAACTTTCCGTACGATTTTAATTATTATTAGAGTATCGAAGAAAAAAGCTGAAGTTGGAATAATCCCGATTCACTCCGCGAGAAGGTGTGAATGGGTGATCCGAGGTGATCATCAACGAGGCTTCGCTCTCATTAGAGCGTCTCCGGTGTATCCTTTTTCCCCCGCGAATTCGACAGAGATTCGAATTCTCCGCTCTATTTGACGCTCCCTCTCGCCGCGAGCCAAGACGGCGGCGGCGGCGGCGGCGGTGGCGATGGTGGACCCCTCGCCTCCTCTTGGACGAGCCAAGAGAGGAGAGCCGTCGTCTCTCCGTTGCCTCTCGACTTAGGAGAATGTATGGAACGGGCCGAAAGGCAAAAAGGAAAAAGGACTACCCGGTGATTCGCTCTATATATAGTGCAACTATCCGAGGGTATGTCCAGTGCACGGTACGCGTCTCGTCCGTCAGCTTCGGCCAAGCAACAGTCCTGACTCGCGCCGGATCCGTTCACCAGCAGGATCGCGTCAATATCTCGGGGGCCTCCTCCTCCTCCTCCAGCGTTGAAACGAGACAAAAGCTCGAAAGGGACAATGAAGGGACTACTCGAACGAAGTAAGCAGCAGGCCCTGTTCGCGGTGATGCTGCTTCCAATCCTTCTCGTCGGTCCCGCGATCGGCGAGATCGAGAGACGCACCTCGAAGCAGATGGTCGAGGAGTCGCCCGAGAGCTTGGCCTCGAGCTTGAGCAAGGATTGCGGCAAGTCGTACAGCGCCACCTGCCTGAAATTGGACGTGGTTTCGTTCCTCGACAGGCTGTCCGAGCAGGAGGACATCAGCATCCTGCCGGGTGTTTCGGTGATCAAGGAGAACGGTTCGGCCAACGTGCCGGCCTCCGAGGTGGTCGCCAACCTTGCCAGAGATTTCCCCAACGACGTGGAGAAGAGGCTGGACGCGTACCTCGTTCACAAGGTGGGAAGTTACCTCAACAGCCACTCCATCTCCATCAAACTGTTCGATCCGAGGACGTTCGAGGCAGCGAGAAATTTTAACGAGGAGACCCTGGCACAACTCGGGCTTGGCGGTGGTGGGCAAAGCGTCGGAACTGGTAAGAAATTTTTCTCAACCTCTTTAACTCATCAACTCCTCTCTCTCTTTCTCAGGATTAAGACTTTGAATGATTCGATTCGATTGATTCGCGCAGGGCGCAAGAAGGAGAAGGGCGGCATGGGAGGCATGATGGCCGGGCTGATGATGATGAAGGGCACGTTGGGCGCTATAGGCTTCGGCGCCCTGGCATTGCTCGCCGGTAAAGCACTGATGACAGGCCTGATGGCCCTCATGTTATCGGCCATCGTCGGCCTGAAATCTCTGGCCAGCGGCGGCGAGAAGAAGACCACGTACGAGATCGTGAGCAAACCGGTGTACTCGAGTTCTCACACCCACAGCTCGGAGGAGCACCATGGCCACGGGTACGGGCATTCCGGGTACGGAAGATCCTTGGACGCGATCCACGACGAGGTGGAGCAGGCCGTTCTCAAGTACGGCAACGTGCGGGATCGTCGATCGCTGCTTCGACAAAATTAACATTAACTCGTGATCGGAGGAGCCGCCGGTGACGAACAGCCGGTGGCAGAGATCTAGCAGCACGTCTCTACCTCACCGAGTCACTTCCGTTTCCTCTTCTATCCGTCTTCTTTTCATCTTTCCATTCGTATTCTTGCTCCCTTTCTTCGTCACCCTCTCCACCGGTGTTATCTCTCTCTTCCTTTTCATCTCTCTTTGTCACTCATTCATCGCTCTTCTTCCCCTGCTCATTCCATCCGTCTCGTCTAACTGGTTCTCTCGTTTCATTGTACCGTCTCTCTGTAATCTCGATCACCGTCACCGAGCTATAAACTCGTTATAGATTATTCGTAGGTATTTATTTTACTGGAACCATTGCTATCGGTATCACCTCCATACACGGTCACACAAGGCTCGAGAAGAGAAGCTGGTCGTCGTTGCACCATGGACCATCCTCGAATCATGTACATGATTTTCTCTTTGTTATTTATATTGTATTTATACGCATTGTAAAGTTTTAAATAAAAATCATGTTTTTAAGAAACCGCTTCCTATCTCTTATTTTTGTATTCTAACATTTGGAATCCATCTCGTTCAATGATCATCCTTAGATTCGTTGGTAGCGGAAGAAACGAGAAATCGAACGGAATCATAGAGCTCGCGAGAATTGAAGACTGCTCTCTGCCAAGTAAATTATAGACATCGGATTGTAATAGCGAGATGAATGTAGCATTCAATTAGATCGATGCGAAATAAGGTCGTTCCTTTCTTCGCGCGCATGTCTGAAGCTATCCAGATGTTATCCATAATCAATTATCGAACATTTCCTATTCGACGCTTTCTATGAATACATATTTCGCATATTTTGTAAAAAAAAATGTACGTACACCTATCATGCTTTTATCCACTTCGACATAATTCGACATCCCAAAATAATTTTTTTCAAAGATTATTACTTTTGTTACAATTTTTCTTACCAATCCTGTTGCGTACACGAGATTTGCACGTTCCTCTACTTTAAAAATTATAATTTCTTCAATTATAATCCAAGAAACGCTAAATAACGAACGGCGGAGGATTTCATCATCGCAGACCGGATTAAATTCTATTAATCTTTTCGCAATATAACTTGTCCCCGAATTCTCGAAAGGCAGCAGCATCCTGCTTTGCAATCTAGGAGATCAAACACCAAGTAAACGTATCATTATGTTGTTTACTTACTGGCTAATGATAAATGGTAATCGTGACAAAGTTTGGAAAAAATCGGACGGATGACATAAATCTTATTGTATATAAACGATTACGATCCGACGGAAGCCAGTCTTTGGAAATCATTTGGGGATCGAGCAATGACAAGTTGGAGGATCGTGCGCGAAGTGCAAGGATCGATGTTGATCGTAATTTTATTGGTGATCCCGATCGTTTCGATTCGAGGCCAAGCCAACGACGCGACCATCAAGAAGAATCAAGTGGATCCTCATAGGATCGTCGAGGCCAGCGATCGTCAATAGTACTTGATTTTCTTCACACGATTATTGTTATTGTCCCTTTGTTATTCTTTGAAAATGTGCCCGTTTTCCAATTTGTTCGTTTCTGACAAGTGATTTTATTTCCTCTTGGAAAATTTTTAAAATCTTCTAATATCTATGTCGCTTCTCGCTTTCTTTTGAAACTGTATGAATTTTTAGTAACAACGGGCGAAGAGTGTTCGATTTCCGGAAGAACGGGATCAGAGTGGATATCAGAGTGGTGCCGTCGTTGAGAAATGACTCGATCAAGGACGACGGCTTCCCGGAGTTTCCTGCAATGGATATAAACCGCTGTGTTATCGATCTCTCGTTGATCTGCGCGAAGAACCGTCTCGGCCGGTTCCTAGAGTCCATTAGGAGCATGAACGAGATTCACTTAATCGGGCAAGACATTAAACTGGTGAAGACAAGAACGAGGAGCAGTCGTGGCAGATTCGTAAACGAGAGTAATGACAATATAGAGCGCAGTGTAAACGATTTCTTCGACACGTTCGCCTTGAGAATTACGTTACCCGGGTGGAAGGGGAATCGAGAAAAGAATCAGATCGACGTTATGTTCGACGAAACCGACGTTGTGGAAGGTTTGTCAAATTTTAAAGTGTAATAAATAATTAACGGAATAATATATATTAATACTTCCAAGTGCGTATTACATTCTAGGAAGAGGGAAAAAAGGAGGTGGTGGTGGTGGTGGTAAAGGAGGTGGCAAAGGCAAAGGGTGTCAAATGATGATGATGGCAGGTCTCATGATGCTCAAAATGAAATTTATGGGTAAACGGCATAAAATATTATCTTCCATTCCGAAGAATAGGAATAGAATTCGAATACAATGCAATTTTAATTATCGAATTAAAATTTTTAACCAACAAATTTTGTAAATCAGGAATGGCAACGATGAAAGGGATGATGATGGCAGGTATGTCCCTAATGATATCGATGGCAATGTTGATGAACAAATACATGAAGGGTTATGGTGGCGGAGGCGGAGGCGGTGGTGGAGGTAATACATCACGAATATTCATCATCGTCGATTATTACGAATATAGAATGAACACTAGTATTATACACTTGGTCACTTGCAGGTCAATACAAAGAAATTGTCCTCTTAACGAAAGCTAATGGCGGAGGAGGAGGTGGAGGAGGCTACGGTGGAGGAGGCGGAGGAGGTTATGGAGGCGGAGGAGGTTATGGTGGCGGAGGTGGTGGTGGTGGTGGTGGTGGTGGCGGAGGAGGAGATTATTACGGTGCTCCACCGTCTATGAGCTATGGTGTACCCTCGGGTGGTGGTTGGGGTCGCAGTTTTGGAAGACGATTTATAACTGCCAACAATCTCGAGAAAATCAATTGTACAAATAATTCGACGAATTCACTTTTCAAAAGTGAAGGAAAACCTGGTCTAAATACAAATTTTATCAGTTACAAGAATTATGGATTATACCCTTTTGTTAATTCCAATTTTACGTATTCGAATTGGAATTACAGCAATCACGAGCAACCACAGAAATACCAGTATTTAATTAAAAATGTCAGTAACGTGGAGAATAATAAAGGAATGGAGCCATTATTGCGTTCTTCTGATAAATATGCTATTGATACGAATACTTATCAAGTGAATGAGGGTACAAGGGATCACGTGAGCGATACAAGACCGATCGTTGATTACGCGAATAATGTCGCTTTGACGAATCATATAGGTAGCAATTACGATACAAATTTAACACAACCGATTTACAGCGACGAATGGCAATCAACGGAAGAGAAATTACATCTTAAATTTCAATAGAAGAATTTCGAGAAAAAAATTCGAATATTTCATTATGCGATCAATTTGATATAACTCTCGAAAAAATGAAAAACTTCGTGTACTATTTGAAAATAAAATTAATATTAAAAACTACTTTTTTCAAGAAATTGATTTAAAACCCATCAATCGAATGCGATCGCGATTTTAAATCAAGTGCCATTACGTGCAAAACAGTGGTGCAATCTTTCGAATAACTACGTAAGACAATGCAGAAGTGTGTTTTACCTGTCTTCAAGTGTAATTCCTTATTCGTACATTCCATGAATTACGGATAAAATATAGGATAGATCTATCATCAGAACGATAAAAATAAAAAAAAATAAATAAAAAAAGAGAAAAGAACTCAATAAATTTAATAATTTATCGGTAGAATACTGAAATTATAAGATTTCAAATAAAAACAATCGTTTGTATCGATACAGCGCGTGACTTTACCCGTCGAGCTGTTTATATAAAGTTTCAGTTTCGTTTCGACTTTCGATATTAACACATCGTTTCGAAATACGATGCGCGTTTAATTTCGTATAAAATTTAAAATCTTGCTTTAATGTATTTTATAATTTAAAATTACATTCAGTGTCGGTACATTTTTTTATTAATACAATGAACGATCTAGAAGCTAATGATTTAAGTCACGATTTTATCTGCGAACGGTAAAACTTATGGAACTTTTTGTTCTGAAATACCGACTTCAAAAAATACCAAAAGTATTTTTTACGCTGTCTAACAAACTGTAATAAGTAAAGTTAAGTAGACAAAATTGAATCATTCCAAAATACAAAATAAAAATGATTTTAGCAAACTGTTATTTATTTTTTTAATAAAATTCCTATCTATGAAAAATATAATCGCGATCGCAGCCAATTAGCTCATATTATTTCTTATAAAATGTATAATTATACCACTACACGATATTGGCTACACGGTGATATGATTATATATTGTATATTAAATAATAATGATTTCCCAGGTCTCACCGCTTGGAGGTTGCTGCGAATTGGAGACCCACCCTGGCCACGACATCCCATCCACCCTCCTTTTGCGTGTGAAAATTTACTTTCAAATAAATTCTCCTTTTGGCGTACGTTTGCAAAACGTTCAAGCTTTTTACACGTTGCGCAATACGAACAACAAAAGGAGCTATGAAAAGAAAACCGGCGCGGAAGACTAAATCTGAAAATGAAATTTTAATTAATCTATCGATATTTTACATTTCCATCATTATGAAAATGGAAAATAATTGATAGTTAGAAGCTTAAAAAAAAAGAAGAAAAAAAAAAGAAGCAAAGCAAACAATTCTACAAAGCACTACTACTTTGGCCATTATCTACTTGTCTACAAAGTAACACCCCTACTTGCATGCATTTAATTACATTTTTAAATACATATTAATCAATATTCTTCCATGATGTAATCTTCTATTCTTCTGTGAAGGAATCCTGAAACAAACTTAAATATAGGATTAAAACATTTTCCTACCTATTCTAAGAGCTCTCTTCATATCCCTATATACACAAATAATGAAATATTTTATTTATGAAGCCTGTTTATTAAAAATCAAAAGGATCCTTCTCACAACCAAACATTCATACCAACAACATCACAATTTTCAAAAATTCACAATACGAATATGAACCACATGTGGTCAAAGAAAAAGCGAATGATAGCTAGTGAACGAAGTCACGTAGTTATCAAGTATCAAAGATTCGA